TTAAAGCAAAACAAAAAATTAAACTTAATGACTTCGAAATATTTTATTAAAACTTGTTTTTGTATTGTCAAATTTTTGACTTTGATTTCTATGCATATTTAAATTTTTTTTAAAAGTACAATACTCCAAAAAAATGGACCATCCTGAATAACTTTTGATTTAGTGATCGGATTTTTATGTTCTAGAACTCAATCTTAATGTTTTGAAAAGGTGATCTTAAATATGATAACTATTCAGTGCAGACGATATTTTAAGTTGAAACATACCTTTCTTTCGACAGACTTGGATTTCTAACCCCCTAAATAAGGGGGGTAGATGTAAGCAGGAAAATATAATCTTAATAGTTTGGTCAGGAGAGCGATCCAAAGTTTCTACCCACTAATGTTAAATTTATATTTTGCCTAATTCGCCAGCCATATAGCGAGAACATTTTAAGCAAGTAGAAAACTTTTGAACACAATTTAAAATTCGTTTACCCAAAAAAAATTCCGTGCAAAATATAAATTTAAATAAATATTTAGTATTTTTTATTATTTTATTTAATATTAGTCGAAAAAATTTTGAATTGTAAGGCATACAATTTTTTACATTGTTTTAAAGTATCTAATTTTACATGGAGAAATGCAAAATTTGAGCGAAATTGGCTGAATAGCTTCTTAAAATAAAATTTTAAGAAAGTCGTACATTTAAAATTAAATTTCTCAGGAATAATTTAACCGGTTTCACTCAAATTTTATATCTTGCCATGTGAAACAAGATACTTTAAATAGATGTAAAAAGTTTTAGACTTTAGAATCTAAACTTTTTTCGACTATTATTAAATAAAATAATTAAAAAATAATAAATGTTTACTAAAATTTATTTTTCGCATCGATTTATCTTTGGATTAACGAATTTTATAACTGTTTTCAAAAATGTTTCTACCAGCTTTAAAGTTCTAGATATACTGCAAAACATCAAAAAATAAAATTAAAATTAGGGGGTTCAAACTTTGGATCGCTCTCCTAACCGAACTATTACACTCCTTAGTCTTGGAAGTTTGGAAATCCGAATCCGTTGAAAGAACGGTATGTTTATTCGGAGAAAATATGTTTTGTGTCTGATTTATAGTAACTTGAAATATCGTCTGCGCTAATTAATTAGCATACTCAAGGTCACTCCCTCGAACCATCAAGATTGAGTCCTAGAACATGAAGATCCGGTCTTTAGATCAAAAGCAATTCTGGATGGTTCGTTTTTTATTTCGCGCACTGTACATTTTATCAAATCATTTCGTACTATAATTCATTCGTTTATTTGTTTGCTGCGTCAGTTATCTATTTAGATATTTATTCTTTTATAATCTATAACCTTTGCCGATTTCTTGTTCATATATTTACTTTTTTTGATAATTATCTCATAGATTATCTATATTTATTTTTTCATATTTTTAATGAATTATTAACTTCCTTTTTAATTATATCAATTACATGCAATCTGAATTTATTTGATCAATTCATAAATTATTTACTAATTCATTATTTAATCTTTCAATTGCAAATTCAATTGGTTAACCATTTATTTATCAATTAAGTTATTTAGTTATTCATTGATTAATCTTTTCGATTCGTTTACTTAATTTTTTTTTATCAATTTGTAAACTTCTTTCCCCATTACTTTATACCTTTATTTCTTTTTTTAGAAAAATTAATAATTTCTGGGGTTTATTTGGTGACCTATTAAGCGACAGATATATAAGATTTATCATTGGTGGGGGACGGTGCCTTAAAATAAATAGCATGTTCCAATGCCATTTTAACGTTTATAAAAACATTTTATTTGTTGACAAAATTTATGTTACACATGGTGCCATTTTGTGGGACATAAATTTAAAATTTCTATCCTAATGAGGAACTATAGTGACATATTAAATAACATGATCCATAAAATAAAATCTGCGCTGCTGAAAGGCACCAATTTCAAAATATAATACAGGTCTTTTCAACCGAAAACTAAGTTTATTGCACAATCTGTAATGATGAATTATTTTTAATTCGTTATGTCAGGTAAGATCTAGAATAATCATTAATGACATGTAAGGATTACGTCACTGATTTACTATTTCAAAGTTATCTTAAATCATATGTTCATTTTGTTTATTAGTTAAGTGCTTGAAATTTGTTTGTATAAAACTAAATAACTTAACACTGACGGTAATTAAACTATAAATTACATACTACAGATGAAAATTAATTAAAAAAATTGCTTATGGTAAAGTTTTGCTTGTCATGAATTGTCCCTGAATAATAGTGCCGTTTTTGGTAATAAATAGTACTGGTTATAGTGAAACTTTGTTGCAAGAAGTTAAACTTCTAAGAACATGCTTTGCCCTTTAATAGGTAAGGAATACTAATAAATGAAATTAGAATTATTTCAGCTTTGTAATTGGATACCTGCAGGCGACGTTATCGTAAATGAATCGTGGTATTTGTCGATTCAGAGGACAATCATATTCGACAAGTACGCATGACGTTGCTTCCAGGTATCCAATTAAATTTGATTTAAATCACATAGTTAGGTCTGATAACGTATTCTTCCTCTCGAGTTTCAAGTACCCAATTGTTGAGTTCATGCATTTCAGTTTTGTGCATGATATCGTAGTCCTAATTGGTTGCGATTCAATAATTATTTATGATTTATATTTAACCCCGTGCGAAGAACGGATGTTCAACTACACTGTTGGAATTTTCAATCTAAAATTATGGTAAAATAACCAGCAGCAGTATGCCCATCCGATTAACCGTAAAACTTACGGTAAAGAACTGTTTTTTACTTTTGCGGTTTTGAAACTGTTTACAACTAGTATGGTTAAAATACCATGAATAATAAACTATAAATTTTTTTTTTAACAATTTGGAACTAGCATGAAAACACTAGAATTTTTGGGTTAAACTGCTTTATGGTGCTGCCATCTATGCGTGAAAGAGAGAATTGTATTCTTATAGACCAGAGTCACCAAGTGGGGAGTACAGTAAACTGGAAACTCTCCAGATGTTGAAGGTAATGGAGGAAATACCTTGGTGTCAACGCTGGGATTCGAACCTCAATTCTGTCTATCGTGAGACTGACACACTAGCCCTCTCAGCTATAATTTGCACCCAGCTGCAAGGAACTAATTGGCTTCATTACGTAAGATTAGTTGGTGTGTTGAAATTCCGGTTGTTTAACCGTATCAGGTAAAAACAGTTTATAAATATTTTTTTTACAGTTAACAGTTTGATTACCGTCTTATTTATGGTTATTCGGCTGTTTCGTTTAAATATGGCAAAATAATAATTAAATAAATTATTGTTTAACAGTTTTTTCCGAGTAATTTCTAATAGTGTAATGAATATTAAAGGGGAAAAAAATCTTCTATAACATGAAAGAATGAGCATTGAAATTCTGTTTCGTTCAGCCAGATCGATACAACCCGAAGCTAATCACGAAATAGCACGTTTGTCCAGTATAACAAATAGATTCCAGGGGATAATTGTTCGCTAATGTATTCCAATAAAGTACTCGTTTTTTCTAAAAGCTATCGAAGGAAGAAAAAAAATAGTTACCGATTTTTCTAAAGAACTCGTTTGTAGCTAATATTGATTCAATCGCATGCACTTGAATTTTAACGAGTTCATTATATGGCTATTTTGAATAGTATAAAGTTCCTTTAGAAACTCAGATTTTAAATTTAAAAACTTGTGCAATGAAAATTTGACTAATATTTCATTTAATTGTAGTTATTAAATATTTTGTTAATAGCTCAGTGAATAAATCTAAAACATTGCAAAACGACTTTTTTTTCAGGTTAAACTACGCTGCGAAAACTGTGTTGCGAAACTGCGAAATCTCTCCCGATTTGAAGTAGAAAAAACTAAAAATTGTGTGATGGAAAACTGTGTTTCAAGTTAATATCAAATCGATCTTTCATATATTCTTTAAAAGATGAATTTAAAACTAACCAATGCTAGTAACTGATAATATTTGCACTAAATTCACGCGCATTTATACCCTTCGTGAATTATTTTTGCATCTAAAAATTCTAATGTTGGCGTGCTAAAGATTTCGGCAGATAATTGTGTACAGTGAGCAAAAAAAAATATTACTCTCAATAACTTTCATTCTAATGATCGGATTCTCACGTACTAAGTGTCAATCTTAATGTTTTCTGCTGGTGACGCCAAATAGGCTAATTATTTATTGCTAATTATTAACTGTTAAGTTGCAAAATTAGACACAAAAACATACTTTCTCTGAATAAACATGCATATTTTTTACAGATTTGGATGTTTGATCTTCAACTTTAAGAAAGAACTAAGTGCCTTCTTTAACTTAAGAACTTTAAGAAAGTTGCCCTTTTACGAATGATAATGCTTTAAATATTTGCTTAAAAAGCTATTAATATTATTTTCCAACTTTAGAACAATTCTCAAAATCTTGTTAAATTAGATAAATGCTCGATGTGCCTTATTTTTTAAATAGCAAACATAAGAAATCGAAAATTGTAAAATGATTCCGAAACCGTGCTGTTTATATGATAACGATCACAAAAAATTTATCTTTTGCTAACATTAAGTTTCCCTTAATACTGAAATAAATAATTTCTTAATACTAAAATAATTTTTGGACTACAACTTATTTTAGAGTTGTAATTTGCATGTTTAGCAAATAGCTTTAGCATGCATTTTATCTTTTCAGAAATTATAAATAGAAGTTTTGCTTATATTTTGCCGTAGTTAAATACAAGAACGTTAATATTTCCTAGATGCTCAGGATGCTATGAGCTAATTATCTAAGGAAAATGATGCAATTCACATATTTGGTAGAATGAAGTGTTTTTTAAATAATGAATCATACAATATTCTTTAACATACATATATGAACGTTTTTAAAAAGCCGATTAACAATCGCCCATTTTTTTAATTACAAAAAAAAAGAAATATCATGAATTATATAAAACTTCACAAATGTTTTAAACAGTCTTAATCTCTTCCAGATAATCTGCATTTTTTTTCAGAAACCTTTTTTCCCCTCAAAGCTTCTCTTGCACAGAAGACTCGATCAAAGGTGTGAAGTTCATTTGTCCCATAACTTTTTATGTAATTAAAAGAATTAATATGAATTTTGGAAATTTTATTTTAGAAATAAATCTTAACGTAAGAACAACGTAAAAACAACACACAAATAAGTACTTGTGTTCAAATTCTAAAACCTAGGAACATCATGAATAATTTATTAATCCATTCGAATTCCATTTTTGAAGGAGATATAAGAAAAACAATTTTTGCATTTTGGCCAGAAATCAGTAAAATATAAGTTTTCTAATAAAAGCTAACTAAAAATGACTAATGAAAAATATTAAATTTTGATTTCCTTATTTTTTATTGTGTCAACTTGGTTGCATAGCAATGGAGAAACACTAGGTATTTCTCTCTTATTGATCACAGTTCATTTAAGGTTATCTTAAATTGCTACTCCTGCTACGGATATATATATATGTAAGCAAAATATATCATTACAATAGTGTGCGGAGCACTCAAACAATTTTACAAAGAAATTAAAACAAATAATCTAGAACACAATAAGTAAAAATATCACGTAAAAACAGAAAATAAAATATAAAGAAAAAACAGAATAAAACATGAAATGAAATCAAACAAGCGAGTAGTGAGCTTTTTTCTAATGAACTTACATGAACGGGAAATTTTTCAAAAATGATTTAAAATATTTTCGTAACAAGATTGCCAGATTGCAAAAAAGGGAAATGAAAGCGCAAATTGAGATAAAAGCGCAACTAGAGGATTTTCGTAATAAAGTGCGTTCTTACTGCATTGCTGAAGTGCGTTTGATTTGTTAGTTACCAAGAATGGGCCCGAAATGGATGTGCGCAAGGTAATATTATACTGGATAATTTAAAGAAGTTGACAATTAATAATTATAGAAAATAAATATTTATTTAAGAAAAAAATATAAAATAGAAAAGAGAAAAAAACATGAATTGCCTGTTTCGCACATAATTTTAGCCACGGATTTGCACGAAAGAGATTTGCACATGGAAAATTATATAAATTAGCAAAGAAATTTTTTAGTAAA